CTGTCAAGCATTGCTCTCCCACTCTATTTAGAGTGGCACATCTCACTGTTGTGAGTGAGTGGTTCTTTTGTTTAGATTGATTTAAGTTTTTTTATCAGCTCAAGCTCTCCCTGCCCTCCCAACAAAAGGAATTGTACAAAAGATTTAAACTTACTTGAGGGCACATCATCAGTCCGGCGTTATTGATCAGCACGTCAATGACGGAGAAGCGCTCGGAGATGGCGGCGGCACAGGCGCGCACCGAGGCGAGCGAGCTGAGATCCAGTTCGAAAAGGTGAAGATTCTTATCTTTTCCTACATCTTCGAGAATCTCCGCCACCGCCTGCTCAGCCTTCTTCAGGTCGCGGCAGGCGAGGAGGACGACGGCGCCGCGAGCTGCGGCCGCCTTGGCCGTCTCCTTGCCGATGCCGGAGTTGGCGCCGGTGATGAGAACGGTCTGGCCGGCCAGACTGTCGGGCAACTTCGCCCGGCGGCGACGGTAGAGGCCAACGGCGTTGAAGGAGTTTCCTATCGTTTCGAGGATGGCCGTCAGCTGGAACCAGAGAAAGACGTAGAGGCGGTAGGCGAGACCGTACGTTTCCGCCATTGTACGAGAGGAGGAGTCTTTGGAGGTCGCTTTGAAGGCCTTGTACAGCTGAACGTCTAGTTCGAACGGCATCCGCGGGCAGGGGCGATAGCAGGGGCGATTCAAAGAAGCTGTGTTGGTGTTTTGACTTTTTGCTGGTTTGGGTTTTTTGCAGTCTTTGTTTTGTGATTCACTGAAACTGGCGTCGATTTTATGTGTGCTGTGCTGAAAATGTCAAACTCAAAATGTGACAAAGAAACAGTTTGCTCAAAACGTTCGAAGATTTAGTAGTCTACTGGCGCAAAAATGTCACCGTCGTCGTCTACCACTTGAGCACAGTTGAAGCTTTCTGGCGCGTTTTCACTACACTTCACTTCACTTTTCACGCCGGTAGACTCACTTTTTCACTCTCACTCTCGCTCTCACCTTCACATCGGGTGATAATGACCACCATTGCCGCCATCACCATCGTCAGCACGTCATTACCACCAGGTCGGCGCCGAAATACGGCTTCAGAGCGGATATGTGTTTTGTGCCACAGTTTGGTGTGATTGGTTGCACACTTGACTGACCAAACGGTTGAAAATGACTGCAAAGGAAAGCCTTTCGTCCCTTTTATACGCCTGTGTCCAGTGCACCGTATCTCCGCTGCTGCTGCTCTAGACATGCACACAATCACACTCCGACACTTAGGCGCTACCAGGATACTCTTGAAGTGAAAGTTAAAGTGCAAGAAAGAAAGTGCAAGCAAATGACTACCACAGCACTGGCCAGGCATCAACGACGGGGGATGGGCAGTGGATAGATTCTTCCACTACCATTGCCCGGTGGCTACTTTCCACAAGTACTGAAAGCACACCTAACAAGCACCTCTGCACTTTGAAAGTGAAGAGCAACAGTACTTGATACCTGCCAAGTGTGCGGTGTGGTGTGGACATTCCTCGCCAATGACGCCTGACTCT